CAACCACCCCCAACGGGGCCTTCCTGCCATACCTCCAGTCTCAGTTGACATGCCCAGAGGGGTCTCAGGACACAAACCCAGGACCTTTCCCATGTGGGCCCAGGTGCCACTGCATCACCACCTGGCCCTCATTTATTTATATTAGTATGAACTCATGGATATTTCTTGTTTTCCAGGAGTTGTAACCCAATACTTTATTATTATTTGTTTTGTTGTGCAGTTGTTCCAGCTTTGGTCGTTGGGAGCTACTTCCATTTGGCTCCTGTGTCCTTTCAGCATGTCCCCATCTTTTTCAAGGCCTTCCTTTCTTTCTGTTACAAGGCAGTTCAGGCTCGTCTTATATTTTCCTTGCCTCAGGAGTGCTGGTTTCTTGGGTGATAATATTTGGAAACCAAGATCTGAGAACTGGCTGTGCTCTACTGGGATGTCATTGTTCTTAGGAGCTTGTAGCAGACAGTTAGGAAACACTAAGATACACGTGTACGCCACCTCCCTCTCCCCACCATGCAGTTATGTTTATCTTCTGTATCAATTTTTCTGTCTCTTCCTCTTTCTCTCTTTCTCACCGTAAGTTCATGATAACTCTGATTTCAATACAGCATCAAAGGGTTCATTCTAGCCTTCTCCCCACTTTTATGGATTTCTCTCTTTGAGTGAGCAATCTGGCTGTTATTATAGTAAATACTTATTCAGTCCTCCTATATAAATGAATTAGTTTCAGAGTTCCTGACCATGCCCCAATAAAAGATTGACTTCTGTAGTATTTGTATACACTGCTTTTGGTTTATGAGCCTTCTAGTCTGAAAGTAGTGGGTTGTCAGGAAAGCCATGACACGCTTTTTTCATTTTTGCGTGGAAAAATACGTCAAGACTTCCCCAACAACCCAATATTATTGTCTGAAGTTACTCAGGTTAGTTCTTTTCTTTCCCAGCCATTTCACTATGACCTTGTTGTTGATTTATAATACCGTTGAATTTGTTTGGTTTGTATTCCATTTTTCCACCCCCACGTCTTTCTTCGTATGCTTGTTGGCTTAATGATTTTTTTTAAAGAGGTTTTTGCTATAGGGCGCGTGTGCTCACAAGACAGAGAGACAGAAAGCGAGAAATCACCCCCCGGGGGGATGGCCACACTGCAATCCCTTCTCCTCCGTTCTCCTCTTGGGATCTTGGGCACACACGCACACACGCCAGCATGAGTTTTAAGCCACCGGGTCTGGGACACGAACCATGGTCGACTACATGGGAGTCCAGCGACATAGCCATTACGCTAACTGCTGGTCCCCCAATTTTTTTGTTTTTAAGTTTATGAAACATGAGTATGGGCTTAGATGTCAAAGCTGTATGAAAAGGTATACTTAGAGAAGCATCCTTTCCTCCTCATCCCTGCTACCAAGTGTCCTTTCTCTTCTCACCTACCTTCTGCTGTTACCAATGGATCGCTGTGGATTTTCGTACTGTTCCTGTACGTCGTATGCACAAGTGAGCATATATTTATGTACTTCCTTATAGCCCCCTCTTTCTTACGTGGCGTAGCGTACTTGAAGGTAGATAGTTTTTGCACTTAGCTATCATCACTTAATGGTTTCCAGGAAATTACCGCAGGTCAGTTCATAGAGAGTGTCCTACTTCCTTTTACAGCTGTAAGATACTCCATGTTATGGATATAACATCTTTTGTTCAACTACTCTACTGTGTATGAGTATTTAGGCTGTTGCCAACTTTTTGTAATTACAAGTAGAGCTGCAATTAATTGTTAGAGGTATATTCCTGAAGGTGGGATTGCTGGCACAAATGGTAAGTGTATATTTAGTTCTATTAGATATTACCAAATTCTCCTCCAGAGGGGTTGCAGCTGTGTGCAGGCCTCCAGCAAAGTGTGAGAGTGACTGTTTCCCCATAGCCTCACCAACTAAATGTGTTGCATGCTTTTTATTTTGTGCCAGTCTGATAGATCAAAAGTGATATCCCAGTCTTGTTTTACATTACAGTCCTCTGATTTTGCTTGAATATTGTTTGAAGGCCATTCTTTGTATCTTTTTCTGTGAATTGTCTATTCAAATTTTCCCCCATTTTTCTACCATTTTTGGTCCAATGTCCCTCAATGTTTAAAAGTTCTTTATCCATTAGGAGTATTAGCCCTTTATTTGTAATATTATTGCATATATAGTCCATGGAATTGCATGTTAGGAAAAAACTGCATGGATTTTTCATCTGCAAATTTTTTTTGCACCAAAATAAACTTGTATGGGCCAGCCCATGGCATGTAGTTAAGGATATTGGACTGTGTGGTTCAAGTCCTAGACCTGGTAGCTTGAAGGAAACATGCCAGCACATGTGTGTGCATGCCCAAAATCTCAAAAGGAGGGAGAGACTGAGGAAAAAGGATGGTGGCACGACTGTCTCCCATTATGGAGGAGGTGCTTTCTCATCTTTTCCCCCCCCTCTCTCTAGCAAGCACATGAACTCTCTGACAAAACTAAAACAAAAACCTTGTACTTTATTTCTGTTTTCCAAGAACTTTTTGAAGCCTTCTGAAGTATGTATGTGTGTGTGTGTGTGTGTGTGTGTGTGTCTGTCTATGTATATATATATAGAGAGAGAGACAGAGAGAGAGAGATGGAGAGAGAGCATGAGCCAGCTGGTGGTGTGGTAGTTAAGGCAGCTGGTACCAAATGGCCAACTGTGCAGTGTGAGTCCAGGACCCAGCGGCTGGAAAACCATGCCAGATACGTGAGTGCACTTGCCCAAAATCCCAAGAGGCAAACGGAGGAGAAGGGATTGTGTTGTGGCTGTGCTCCAGGCAGGTGCTTTCTCTCCCTCTTTGTCTCTCTCCGGTGAGTACATGCACCCTATAGCAAATTCAAAATTATACACACACACATGCATACAGAGAGACATAGATAGGAATAGACACAGGTATAGATAGGGTGAATGTTTTCTTCTAGTTCGACAGTTGTTTTTTACTTTATCTTGTGTCCATCTTTTAAGATCCACCTCAGCTGCTGGATTTGGATAAAACATTCCAAACACTCCAGCTTAGAAGTCTCTTCTTCATCCTCCAAAGTTCCAGAACACTTACAATTTACTTTTCAAAATAGTTGGTGTCTTTCTGTGGGACATGTTATATCTCACCTGTGTTTTAGGTATTTCTTTCTTTTTTTTTTTTTTTTTGGAGAGATTTTCACTGTAGGGCGCGTGTGCTCGCCAGACAGACAGAGAGAGACATAGAGACAGAAAGCGAGAAATCACCCCCCAGGGGGGATGGTCACGCTGCAATCCCTTCTCCTCCATTCTCCTCCATTCTCCTCTCGGGATCTTGGGCATGCACACACACGCGCCCGGCGTGAGTTTTAAGCCACCGGGTCCGGGACACGAACCGCTGTCGACTACGTGGGAGTCCAGCGACATAGCCATTACGCTAACTGCTGGTTCCCGGTATTTCTTTCTACTGGATTCAAGACTCTTTAAAGACAAGATCAGTGTCTTATCTTTCTAATCCCATCATACCCAGCAGTTGTTTTTGCACTTATCAGATGTTGACTGAGTGACCGTATGCGACACTTACAGAATAAGTGAACAAGTAGAACCAGAAATCTGGCTTACAGCCAGCAAGCAGAGGGGTGCGTGCATTTACGCACACAATGCCCACGTGTTAGGGGCGGGAGGTGGGGACCCAGCCACAGAAGCTGCTGCAACACTTCCTCAGGATTTATCTTCATTATTTAAATCAGACAAGACATATGGGGTAGCATCGAAATCATGGGGACATCCGCTTAGAAAATAATGGTTTTTAGATTTCCCCTAACTCAGATACCAATTTGCCTTTACTATGTCGATTCTTATCTGTGTGTTAGTGTGTGAGAGCTGGTGTAACAGAGTGCTACAGGCTAGGTGACTCAGACAACGGAACTGTATTGATTCACGGTTCTGGAGTCTGAAACCAAAGCATTGGCAGGTTTGGTTCCTTATGAGAAGAGAGAAGGGCTGTGACAGACTGTCCCAGGACACCTCCTTGACTTGTAGGTGTCCATTTCACAAGCCAGTCTCCTCGTATGTGCCTTCAAATCTCTTCTCACGGGGACCTGCGGTTGGCGTAATGGCTATGTCGCTGGACTCCCATGTAGTCGACCGCAGTTCGAGTCCCGAACCCAGTGGCTTAAGCTCACGCCAGGCGCATGTGCGTGCGTACCCAAGATCCTGAGAGGGAATGGAGGAGAAGGGATTACAGCATGGCCATCTCCCCTGGGGGGTGATTTCTTGCTTTCTGTCTCTCTGTCTCTGTCTTTCTGGTGAGTGCATGTGCCCTATAGCAAAAACCTCTCAAAAACAAAAAACAAAAAACAAACAAAAAAATCTCCTCTTATAAAGCAGCCTTGGTGGAGTAGGGGCCCACCAAGTGGCTGGATCCCACGTGACAGACTGCGTGTTGGAATCCCAGACCCTATGGCCTGAAAAACATGCCCACTGCATATGCTTGCGTACTCAAAATCCCAAAAGGAGGGAGATATGGAAGAGAAAGGATTGCACATGACCATCCCCCATGGGAGGTATTTTCTCACTTTCTGTTTTTTCTGTCTCTCTCTAGAAAGCATATGTACCCTTTGCCAAAAAAAAAAACAAAAAAAAAAAAACTGAAATAGGACCCACCCTAATGGCCTCATTGCAACTTGATGACCTTTGTAAAGACCTCATCTCCAAATAAGTCATATTCTGAGGTTCTGAGGGTTAGGACTCCAATCTTTACATTTCAGGGGGACATAATTCAGCTGGTAACAGTCCATATAACAGTTTAGAAATGCAGCTTCGAGTTATTTATCTTTTCTTTAGAGCATTATAATTAACAGAATGTCAGTCAATCGTGTTCTCGGTGAGTTATAGCACGCTTTGGTGTCAGGTACAGCATGTCAACATGCACATATTTGATAAAGATTCCATGCTAAGAAGATGCATTAAACATGCAGTGCTCATGAATTCACGTTCTTCCATCTGCAACCTAGGTGTCAGAAGCCCCAGAAGACCTCGGGTGTGCATTGAGACCTGACAGCACGGGGGCAGTGTACAGAGCTGCCGCGGTGGAAGTGGACATGTCTGCGTCTATAACACTGCAAGTGCTAGTCAACACCCCCGGGAACATTTCCTGTCTCTGGGTCTTTAAACACAACTCCTTGAATTGCAAGCCACATTTCGATTTACAAAACAGGTATGTGTGTCAGGAAGTAAGTGACCTCGAGGATTTGGGGAGAATACGTTCTTGCATAAAATGTTGCTTCACTTGGGAGGCAGCAGGGAGTATGGTGGTTCACAGCGCTGGACTCCCACTGACTGCGGTTCAAGTCCCAGACCTGGTGGCTTGCTTTCTCACTTTCCCTCTCTCTCTCTCTCTCTCACTCTGTCCCTCTTTTGTTAAAATCAAATCAATCAATAAATAAAGTTAAATAAAAATAATTCTTTAAAAAATGTGATTCATTTGGAATTTCTTTTCTGTGTCTTTTTTTTTTTTAAGAGATATTTTTGCTATAGGGCATGTGTACTCACCAGAGAGACAGAGAGAAAGCGAGATATCATCCCCCAGGTGGGATGGCTATGCCACAATCCCTTCTTCTCCATTCTCCTCTTGGAATTTTGGGCACACATGTACACACTCCCAGCATGTAAGCTGCTGGGTCTGGAACTCGAACTGCCTTCGACTATGTGGGAGTCCAGTGATGTAACCATTACACCATCTTCAGCCCCTGCCCTACTCTAAAAACAAAAACAAAAACATACATTTTACTTTTTATTTATTATTATTTTTTAGTTTGACCAGAGAGAGAAAGAGAAAGCAAGAAAGCAAGCCTCCAGGTCTGGGACTCCAACCATGGTTGGCCGTGTGGGAGTATACCACATTAAGTAGTATGCCACCTGACAGTCCCTGGAATTCCTTTTAAAGTTTCTGTCCATGTCTGTTATATCTCCAGTGCAGTAACAACTAAAAATAGAATTAGGGCATGGACACATGACATTATATATCTGTCGGATACCTTAGGACGTACGTCACAGAAGTAAACCATAAAGTAAACTAGGGACTTTGATTAATAATAATTGATCAATGTTGGTTTTTCAGTTGTAGCAAATATAAACACCTATACCAGACATTAAGAATAAGGGAAACTGTATGTGTGGAGGGAAGGGAGTTTATAGGCTCTCCCTGCATTTTCGGTTCAATTTTTTTTTTGGTAAATCTAAAATTGCTATAAGTAATGAAGTATAGGGGCAAGCCGGTGGCATGGTGGTTAAGGCAACTGGATCCCACAGGGCCAACTGCGCGGTTCAAGTCCCAGACCTGGCAGCACAACAAACACAGTGGGCACATGCGTATGCATGCCAAAATCCCAAGAGGAGAATGGAGGAAAAGGGACTGTGGTATGACCGTCACCCTGGGGGATGATTTCTCACTTTTCCTCTGTCTTCAGTGAACTCATGTGCCCTTTAGCTAATGAAAACAACAACAATAATAATAATAAAAAAAAGCCTAGTTAGCAATTTAAACCCATGAATAGTTTTTTCATAATACACATTTTTTTGTGAACTTTATGAAAATCCTTCATATATAGAAAACAGCAAGTGGTTGGCAAAATGGAAAATAAATAGTCACAAGAACACTCGAGATGTTTCAAGTGTTTTATTATTTTTTTAATTGGATATTACATTAAAGATAAAAAGTTAGGAAGTTTTTATTCTATTCTGATTAAAATAACAAAACATTCCTTTCTGGGAAATGCTTGGAGAGAGAGCATTTGGTTTTATCTATCTTGTTGAGCAATATGATAAGGCTGCAATGCCGTTATGATATTCAGAAAATAGTTTAGTAAGATATTGATCTCAGGGCCAGCAGGTGATGTGGTGGTTAAGGTGCTGAACTCCCACATGGTTGACCGTGGTTCAAGTCCCAGATCTGGCAGTTTACTTTTCCACTTTCCCTCTCTTTCTCTCTCGCTCGCTCTCTCTCTCTCTCTCTCTCTCTCTGGTAAAGTGTATATGCCCTATAGCAAATTAAATAATAATAAATAAAATTAAATAAAAAATTATTTTAAATATATGTGTAGATAGATAGATCTGTCTGTAAAAACATTGGTCTCATTATCCAGGAAAATATCTCAGCCAAGATTTGTGGATCAGGCCAAACCTTGTCTACCTCTATGCCGATTGCTTCCCCCTGCTGTCCTTTTCCTTGTCCTTGTGCAGAAATTAGACAGGTCAAAGGACATAGGCCATTTAAATGCCCACTTTATGATTCAAAACCACCTTTCTGGCCAGCCAATGGTGTAGCAATTCAGGTGGTTGGATCCTACATGGCTGACTGCATAGTTCAAGTCCTGGGCCCAGTGGCTTGAAAAACACGCTGGGTGCATGTGCATGTGTGCTCAAAATCCCGAGATGAGGGAGAGATGGAGGAGAAGGGATTTCAGGGACCATTCCCCATAGGCAGTGCTTTCTTGCTTTCTCTCTCTCTCTGGAGTGCATACACCTTCTGCAAATTAAACAAAACAAAAATTTGTTTTTATTTTTTAGTTTTTTGCCATAGGGCAGATGCGCTCCCCAGAGAGACAGAGAGAGAGACAGTGAGAAGAAAAGCAAAAAATCACTCTGGGGGCAAAGGGTGACCATGCTGCAATCTCTTCTCCATTTTCCTTCTGGGATCTTGGGCATGCACGCACACACACACAGTATGATTTTCAAGCTGCTGGGTCCAGGACTCATACTGTGGTCAGCCATGTGGCAGTCCAGTGTCTTAAGCACCACACAGTGTAACCATTATGCCACCTGTTGGTCCCTGTATTTGCTCTTTTTTTTTTTAACTTTTTTTTTTTTTTTTGAGAGAGATTTTCGCTATAGGGCACATGCGCTCACCAGACAGACAGAGAGACAGAGAGACAGAAAGCGAGAAATCACCCCCAGGGGGAATGGTCACGCCGCAATCCCTTCTCCTCTATTCTCCTCTCGGGATCTTGGGCACGCACGCACACGTGCCCGGTGTGAGTTTTAAGCCACTGAGTCTGGGGCGCGAACCGCGGTCGACTAAGTGGGAGTCCAGTGACATAGCCATTACGCTAACTGCTGGTTCCCCCTGTATTTGCTCTTTAAGGTCAGAGAAACGCTTAAGTAATTTTTAAGACAGTGAATATAATTCTGAAGGTTAGTTCTAAATCTTGGGATTGTATTACTTCCTTTCATTATTATTATTTATTTTATCTTTGGAGTTAAATTAAACCACTCTTCTATTAAGAATTTTAGCTGTGGCAGGACCAGCAGATGGTATAATGGCTACATCACTGAACTCCCATGTAGTCGATCACGGTTTGAGTCCCAGACCCTGTGGCTTAAACTCACACTGGGCGCGTGTGCATGCATGCCCAAAATCCCAAGAGGAGAATGGAGGAGAAGGGATTGCTGCGTGGCCATCCCCCCTGGAGAGGGTGATTTCTCACTTTCTGTCTCTCTGTCTCTCTTTGTCTTTCTGGCGAGAGCACATGCCCTATAGCAAAATTCTCTCCAAAAAAAATAAAAAAGAATTTTAGCTGTGGGGCTAGCAGGAGGACTGGTGGTTAACACACTGGATTATAGATGACTCACTGTGGGTTGAGTCTCAGACCCAGCAGCTTAAAAATCATGCCGGGCACGTGTCATGCATGCCCCAAATCCCAAGAGGAGAAGGGGAGAGAAGGGAATGCCATCCTTCCTGGGGTGGGTTGGGGGCATAATTTCTCACTTTGCCTCTCTGTCTCTTTCTGGTGAGTGCACGCTCCCTTTAGGGAAAAAACAAAAAAAAAAAAAAAAAAAAAAAAAAAGAAAGAAAGAAAGAAAAGAATTTTAGTTTGGGATTGGCCCCATAGTCTAGTGGTGGTTAAGAGGGCTGATTTTAATATGGCCAACTGCAGTTTAAATCTTGGCACCAGAGTCTAGAGAAACACATCAGGTGCACGTGTGTGTGTGTGTGTGTGTGTGTGCCCAAATCCCAAAAAGAGGGAGAGATGGAGGACAAGGAATTGCAGAGTGACCATACCCCATTGACGGGTGCTTCCTCCCTCTCTCCCTCTCTCTGGCAAGCTCACATGCCCTCCAGAATTTAAGAAAGAAAGGAAAAGGGAAGAGAGAAGGAAGAAAAGAAAGAAAGAATTTTAGTTTTAAGGAATGTTTTGGTAATCTTATTAAAATGTTATGCCAGAATTTTATGCCATTTTAGAGCTCACCACATTGAGACCAAAAAACAACATGGGAAAATAGAGGTTTGTTTTTGTTTTGTTTTATTTTTTAAGAATTGTCTATTTAATTCCATTAGTGATTTTTCAGTTTGATTAGAGAGAGACAGAGAGAGAGAAAAGGAAAAAGAGAAAACAAGCCACCAGGTCTGGGACTCGAACCATGGTCAGCCATGTGGGAATCCAGAGCCCTTATCCACTATGCCACCTGCTGGCCCCAGGAAAGTCAAGTTCTTTCACTCTGTGTAGGTGACTTTGTTGCTTTATGACAGGCAACCTAGATTGTTGGCCAGTCATAGTTTTCACGTGGGTTAATTAACTCAGTATTAAAAACATTTTTAGTGACTTTTTCACAGTAGATTATTATAGAAATTTGTATTTGGACTCTGACTCATAGGCAAAAAGATTAATTCCTAGGTTTCCAGGAATTCACAGAGGGGAACTAGGTGAGTGAATGGTTCAAGAGAAAGAAGGCACATCACTAAAACAGATCTGCCAAAGCAAATTGAATACATTTCCTGCGGATTTACTGTGACATGCGTATGAGCACGTCCTCTTGACCATGCTGTTAGGTGCTCTTTCAGGGCTTCTTGTATATAATGTGCATTTGAGTTGCCCAGAGATGTTATTAAAATGCAGATTAAAAAATTATTTAACTTTATTTATTATTATTTTAATTTGACCAGAAAGAGAGAGGGAAAGCGAGAAAGTGAGCTGCCAGGTCCGGGACTTGAACTACAGTCAACCATGTGGAGTCTAGCACTCTTAACCACCTCACCACCTGCCAGCCCCTAAAATGCAGATTTTTTTTTTTTGAGAGGTTTTTGCTAGAGGGCGCGTGCGCTCACCAGAAAGACAGAGAGGCAGAGAGGCCGAAAGCAAGAAATCACTCCCAAGGGGGGATGGCCACGCCGCAATCCCTTCTCCTCCATTCTCCTCTCAGTATCTTGGGCACGCATGCACCCGTGCCCGGTGTGAGTTTAAGCCACTGGGTCTGGGACTCAAACCACGGTCGGCTACATGGGAGTTCAGCGACATAGCCATTATGCTAACTGCTGGTCCCATGCAGCAGATTTTTTTTTTTTGAGAGGTTTTATTTCGCTATAGGGTGCGTGCACTCGCCAGAAAGAAAGAGACAGAAAGCGAGAAATCACCCCCCAGAGAGGATGGCCATGCTGCAATCCTTTCTCCTCCATTCTCCTCTCAGTATCTTGGGCACGCATGCACCCGTGCCCGGTGTGAGTTTAAGCCACTGGGTCTGGGACTCAAACCACGGTCGGCTACATGGGAGTTCAGCGACATAGCCATTATGCTAACTGCTGGTCCCATGCAGCAGATTTTAGTAACAGGTTCGAGTGGGACTTGAGCTCCTGCATTTTTGTAATCTCCCAGCTGATGCTAACTGTTGGAGGCAGACACACTTTGGGCAGGTAAGGGTCCAAGCATTGAAAGCATGAGTCACCTGGGAGCTGGGCTGGCTGGTGGTGCAGCAATAAAAGGTGAAGACTCTGAGAGGCTGACTCACATGAGGGGTCTCCAGGTTGCCATCTGGTTTCCAGGTTTGTATCTGGAGACCTCTGTGACTGTGCCAGGCCTGTGCCATCCATGATCCAGAACTGGTGTGCAGTGATTCTGTGCAGCTCGAGAAGTTGGATCCACGTGGCTATCATGATTTGAATTCCTGGCCTGGTCCGTGTGAAACATGCCAGGCACATGTGTGAGTGCCCAGATCCGATGGGCTGGAGGACTGGAGGAAGGGGACATGGCATGACCAGACTCCATGGAGAATGCCCCTTTCTGTCTCTGTCACATCTAGAGATGTGCACAGGCACACACTCGGCCATGAATAAAGAAACAGAGTCAAGGCCACGCTCGCAATGTCCAGGCTGAGTGTTGAGCAAGATAGAAGCTGCGTCCTGAAAGCAGGGGCCTCTGAACCACCTCTGACTCACTATGAAATTTTGTGTTTTTAGTTTCACACATTTTCCAAAATAACCAGTTCTCTTTCTTGTTTTGCAGAGGAGTTGTTTCCATGGTCATTTTGAAAATGACAGAAACCCAAGCTGGAGAATACCTACTTTTTATTCAGAGTGAAGCTACCAATTACACAATATTGTTTACAGTGAGTATAAGAAGTAAGTCCAGCTTGCTACTGGGTCTTCACAGTAATCCAGAGCAGTGGCTTGGAACCCAAACTGGCATTTGATCAGTCGCACTAGATGCCAACGTCAGACTTGTCTCGATACGTGATTGCATTGAATGAATCCACTTCAACTATCTATATAACCGATTAAGAACTGAGAGTCTATGACGTGTCCAGTAGATTCCCAGAATGTGAGTGCTGTTAAAAAATCTGGCACAAAAAAAAAAAGCGAAATCTTCTACTCAAGTCTCCCACATCTTTCTCATTGTTGTTTGTTTGTTTGGTTGGGTTTGGTTTTGGACAGTATCTCACTATCACACGCCTCCTGCCTCATCCTCCCAAGTAACTGGGATTACAGGCATGTGTGTGCCACTGCACTTGGCCTTTAGGTTCTGTTGGGAATCAAATCCAGCCTGCCCATTACGGTCCCGGCGGGTAGAGCATAGCATCTTAGCAGCACACGCCACTGTAGCTGGACCTTGGCCTGGGTTTTCAGTAACAGATAGTGGACAGGCAAGGAATAGAAAGCTTCTTCAAACCTTGGAGTCAGTACGCTATCATTTGCAGGTTACTTCTGAGCCTCGATTTCCTTATCTACTAAGTGGGGATGAAAATGCAAACCTCAGGCCCAGATAGTGGACAATGGCAACACAGTGCTCTCAGTGCCAGACCCATATTGGAAGGTCCCAGGTTTGCATCTCGAGGTCCCCCTGTGTAATCTGGGGGTTTTGTGGACTTTTGATTCTGACTAGCTGAAGCTGAGATGGATCACAATGTGAAGACCCTGTTGGAGATCCCCCACTGTCTTTCTCTTGGAAAAAAGAAAGAAACTTCAAAAAAAAAAAAAACCTTATGAGATTATAAGGTCTCAGTATGATTCTCTAGAACTTTCTGAGATGACGAAAGTGCTCTTTGTCCCTCCAATGCAGTAATCACTGGTCACTTGGGATTATTGAACACTCAGAATGTGGCTAATACAAGTGAGGAAACTAAGTTTTAATTTTATTTCATTTTAATTAAAATTTGAATTTCAGTAACCACCATATGTAGTGACTGGCTCCTGTATTGGGCAGTACAGGGCTACACGAATGCTAGGCTGTGTACAAGCCATGAGGAACAAGAGGGGGATGAAGGGGACAGCTGTGCAGCTGGCAGGCTTCTCCTTGTGCTTTCTGGCTTCTCCTTGTTGCGTCCCCATCAGGCAGGACCAGCATTCACATACTGAGCTGTACACACCAAGTGCACGGCTTCACCTCACGGGACTGAGACAGGGCAAAGAAGCTGCGTTCACTTAGGTCCTCATGCCTTTGGGGCCAGAGCAGTGCTCCAAAACCTCGGGGTTAATATCACTTTTAAAAATACCCCTGTGAGGGAACCAGCAGTTAGCGTAATGGCTATGTCGCTGGACTCCCACGTAGTCGACCATGGTTCGCATCCCGGACCCGGTGGCTTAAGACTTACACCGGGCGCATGTGCATGCTTGTCCAAGATCCCGAGAGGAGAATGGAGGAGAAGAGATTGTGGCGTGACCATCTCCCCTGGGGGGTTATTTCTCGCTTTCTCTCTCTATGTCTCTCTCTGTCTGTCTGGCGAGCGCACGCGCCCTATAGCAAAAACCTCTCAAAAAAAAAATATATACCCCTGTGATATTTTGTGATTTACGTATCATTGTACATCTTTGTGGGATATGGTATGGTTTTCAACGTGTGCATATAGAGTGACCATCAAACCAAGGATATAAATAGGTTCATCTTCCTCAACAACGAACATTACAGTATGTTGTGCACATTCGATATCTATTCTGCTAGTTTTTTTGGAAGTATGTATCAAGTAGGTAATGCTCTTTTTACTCTGCTGTACACCTGTCCATAAGCGCTTTGCCTTGTTTATATGCACTCTTTTTTTTTTTTTAGGAATAGTCGTATTTATTTAATTTTGTTTGATTATTTTTTTATTTATCTTTATTTCTTCCTTTTATTTATTTAAAATTATTTAACTTTATTTACTACTTATTTATTTTTCTTTGACCAGAGAGGGACAGAGTGTGTGTGTAGGGGGTGGGGAGCGTAAGAAAGCAAGCCACCAGCTCCGAGACTTGAACTGCAGTCAGCCATGTGAGAGTCCAGCGGCCCCAAACACCCCACTACCTGCCGGCCCTCTCTTCCTTTTATTTTTTAATTTGACCAGAGAGAGAGAAAGGGAAGGTGAGAAAGTAAGCCACCAGGTCTGGGACTTGAACCATGGCCAGCCATGTGGGAATCCATCACCCTAACCAGCACACTACCTGCTGGCCCCTGTTATTGTTACTTTTTAATTTGACGAGAGAGAGAGAGAGAGAGAGAGAGAGAGAGAAAGGAAAGCAAGCTGTCAGTTCTGGGACTTGACTACAGGCGGCCATGTGGGAGTTCAGTGCCTTAACCACCACACCACCTATGACCCCTTACATGGATTTTTGAGTCTTTTCATCATTTTTTTCCAACATTCCCCCCATCACAATCCCTCTTAACTATCATTACTCTCTCTACTTGGATGCCATTGAGTCCTTCAGTTTGCTCCATGGAGTGTGGACATTTGGTATATGTTCAGTGTGGAGATCCAAGCCCTAGATAGGCATTGGTATGACTTCCTGGCTCCCCTCTTCCTTGTCCCTGACTCTAGTGTCCAAGCTGGGGCGGGGTGCTCAGGGATCTCCCCACACAGGTGCCCTGGGCCAGAAAGAACCACAACCACCCTTTGCCGAAGAGGTTTGTGGGTATCATCTCAGATGCTCCGGATGAGCCTGCCTTGATGGATTGTAGACGAGAAAGACCCCCTGAAGCAGGTGGTAACCCACATAGCGAGAGATTGATTCCAGCAGCCAGTCTCACTTCCTGCTCCCTAGGGCACTGGGTCTGTGGGAGAGGGTGTGGTTTCTCACTAACTGCTAAGGGCAGAGAACACTTCAGATTCCCAGAAAGGTCATCTTACTGTGGTTGACGATGGGATTAGGTTTTAAAGTCAGCCTGCAAGGCATATATCAAGTAAAAATCTGTCCAAATTTGTTCTGGAAAGCCCTTCGGTTACTCTGAAATTGGCCAGACCAGAGCCCTAGATGCTCAAAATCCCAGAGCTACCTTTCATTGCTCTTTGGTTTTGCCCCCTCCCTGGTTCCTTTCCCTCCTCTGAGGACAGTAAGTATACGCTCCAGGTTGTAAAGGATACGATGAGATGTATTACTCTCTCCCTTCTCTCTTTCTTGCTCTCTTCCTTTCTCTCTTTTTTGCTAAGTGTGTGTATCTGTATAAGGTGCGTGACCATCTGCTGTGCCTTTATTATATTCAGGGCATCACCTTTTTTCTTTCTTTATTTTCTCTTAAGGCTTTCAAAATAGGGGCCAGCAGGTGGTGCGGTGGTTAAAGGCACTGGACTCCTACATGGCCGACTGCAGTTCCACTCAGATAGGAGGTAAATTAGATATGTAATATGTGGAACCATGTGAAGAGTTTCTGGAAGTAGGTGAGCAATTATGTCAGATGGTGCTGAGAGATATGGGTGAGATCTGGGGATTGACCACTAAAATTAGTATTATGGGGACTGGCAGGTGGTGTGGTGATTAAGGCTCTAGATTCCCTTGGCTGAATGTGGTTCGAGTCCTGTACCTGGTGGCTTACTTTCTCACTTTCCCTTTCTCTCTCTGTCTCTGTCTGGTCAAATTAAAAAATAAGAAGAACAAATGGAACTAACTAAATAAATAATTCTAAAAAAAAAAGTATTTTCAAAATAAAAATATAGCAACGAGCATTCAAGTAAATTGTAACGTTTTTGGCATTCTACCCGGTGGCAGGGTTCAAAAACACAGGTGGAAGAAATGTGGCAATAGTGTGAAAAGAGGAAAGGGTTATCAACCACAAGCACAGTTTTAACCAACAGTGTGGTATGGTTGCTAAAAAAAAGTATATTTAAACCTTGGCAGTGTTCATAAAAGTATAATGCCCAGATTATGGAAATGAGGAGAAGATTATTATTTTCAGTTCTACATATTTTCAATATAGAGTAACCAGGGTAGTGAACTTGTAATTCCTTAAATTAGGAGCAGCTGAAAGAATTGGTAATGTTTAGCACAGGAAAGGAAATGTTTTGAGGAGAGGAGATTAATTGCAATACAGTGTAGAAGAAATTCTCTAGAATTTGATTCAGAAGACATGTATTAACTTGTTAAAATACCATCAATGGTAATTATCTCCCTTGACCTTGGTTTTGGATTTTAGATACTTAAAGGATTTTCATGTGGAAGCAAAGCAAGACATTTTTTTTAAAAAAAAGAATTATTTATTTTAAATTTTAGTTATTCACTCATTTATGTTTTTAAAATTTTGACCAGAGAGGAGAAACACAGAGAGAGAGAGAGAGAGAGAAAGTGAGGAAGTGAGGAAGAAAACCACCAGGTCCAGGACTCGAACCATGGTCGGCCATGTAGGAATGTCCAGTGCCTTAACTATCATGCCACCTGTTGGTCCCGCTAGACGCTTTTTTTTAGAAGAATTATTTATTTAATTTTATTTGTTATTATTTCACTTGCTTTAGGGCACATGTGCTCACCTAAAAGAGAGAGAAAGAGAGGGAAAGTGAGAAAGCAAGCTGCCAGGTCTAGGACTTGGCCACAGGCAACCATGTGGGAGTCCAGTGCCTTAACCACCATGCCAACTGCTGGCCCTGCAAAACTAGACTTTTAAAAAATCACTCAAGAGGTATAAATGGGACTAATAGAAATTATAGGGAGAAGAAGTAAAACCACAAAATGAGAAATATTTGTTGTTCATAATCAGCAAAGGATTAATACTCATAATATGTAAAGAGTATCTGTAAGTAAATAAGGGACCAGCCTGTGGTGTGGTGGTTAAGACAGCTGGATCCCACATGGCTGACTGAGCATTTCAGGTCTCAGACCTGGCAGCTTGAGAAATAAGATGAGTGAGCATGGGAACCAGCAGTTAGCGTAATGGCTATGTCGCTGGATTCCCACGTAGTCGACCGCGGTTCGTGTCCCAGACCCGGTGGCTTAAAACTCACGCGTGTGCGTGCGTGCCCAAGATCCCGAGAGGAGAATGGAGGAGAAGGGATTGTGGCGTGGCCATCCCCCCTGGGGGGTGATTTCTCGCTTTCTGTCTCTATGTCTCTCTCTGTCTGTCTGGCGAGCGCACGCGCCCTACAGTGAAAATCTCTAAAAAAGAAAAAAAAAAAGAGACGAGTGAGCATGTGTCTCCCAAAAGGAGAGAGAGATGAAAGAGAATTGTGATGTGACCATTTCTCATGGGTGGGGTACGTTGTCACTTTTCCACTCTCTTCCTCTTTGTGTCTCTCTCTGGCCAGTGTATGTGCCCTCTGGCAAAGTTTAAAAGATAAGTAAGAGAAAACAAAACAAACAAAACTCAGTAGAAAAATTAACAAAAAGATACCAATGGGTATTTCATTATCAGAGCATGAAACTGAAATCAAATGTGTTAAAAGATGTTTTCAGGTAAATTTAAAAAATTTTAAAGTTTATTTGAACAAATACAACAGTGATTCATTAATTGGGTGACTCCAGGCAACAAGCTGTTGGGTTACCCTGAGGAGATTGAAGAGAGAAACTTGTATAAGGTGTTTGTGGAAGCAAGACAAAATATTTGATTGGTTAGTGGAAAGTCTCCAGTTAGATGTTGGTTGGCAGTTTCTGATAGGTAAAAGTCTCTAGTTAGACATGAGTTGGCAGCGTCTTATTAGTTAAACTCATGTTTTATTTTGCTGCTTCACTGAGTGGGTTTTGGTTTACTTGTGAAGAAACCCAAAGTGCTGGCACCCTCTCAGTTAATGGTCTCCCAAGTAATTTTTTAACACATATTAATAATTGAGAAATCAAATTAAGAGTAAAATGAGATATCATTTTATACCCTCTAGATTGTTAAAAATGAAAGTGTTCCGGGCACGTGTGCCTGCGTGCTCAAGATCCCGAGAGGAGAATGGAGGAGAAGGGATTGCGGCGTGGCCATCCCCCCCCGGGGGGTGATTTCTCACTTTCTGTCTCTGTCTCTCTCTGTCTGTCTGGCGAGCGCACGCGCCCTATAGCAAAAGCCTCTCAAAAAAAAAAAAAAAGTGTTGAAAATTAACAACATTTAGTGTATAGAGCAATATGAATTCTCGTATCTGCTGTGTTAGTGTAAATTAGTATAACCATTTTGCAAAGTCAGTTATTATGTACAAAGCTGAATATGCCCTTACTATGTGAACCAGCAGTTCCATTCCTAGACATATTATTAAATAAACTGCCACACCTGTGCCTCTTTCAAGATGTAGGGAATGTTCATAGCACCATGGTTGATAGTTGGAAAAACTAAAAATGACCCAGTGTCCACATTGAGAAAATGAAAACATCGATTGTGATTTATTTGCCAGAGGAATATATATAGCAATAAAAAGTGAATGAAGTATAGCTACATGCGAAACCGTGGATGAGTCTTTAAAACATAAGTTAGATTTTAAAAGTGAAATTGTAGAAGCTACATGTTGAATGATATTGGAATTCAGCATAGAAAAACTTCCTTTAAAATGTCTGTTGGCTGGCCCCGTAGCCTAGTGATTAAGGGACCCGGATCTCACATAACTGACTGTGGTTTGAATCCTGGCTCTGACGGTTTGAAAAATACACCAAGTGTGTGTGTGTGCTTGTGTGTGTGTGTGTGTGTGTGTGTGTGTGTGTGTGTATGCCCCAAATAGATAAAGAATTCTGGAGGAGAAAAAGGAATTTTGGCATGACTACGCTTCCCTGCGGGGGTGCTTTTCCTTTCTCTGACTCTCTCTTTCTCTGGTGAGCATGTTTGCCCTCTGACAATTAAAACAAAATATTATAAAAAAAAAATGGAATGATCTTCCCATGAATACAGTGAACTCCAGTCCCTAGAGGAGTCTAAGCTGAAGTAGAACATTTATGAATTAAGCATAGGTGGAAGTAGAGGCCAAGGAGTCTGTGTGTGTATGAGAGATGGTCCAATGAGAATCAGAAGCTCAACTAGCCCTATAAATTTTGATCCATTTCTAACACCATCCTATTATACAAGGGGATTTGAAAAGTTCGTAGAGGGCCTGCTAGTGACGTGGTGGTTAAGGTGGCTGAATCCCACATGGTTGACTGCACAGTTCAAGTCCTGGCCCCGGCTGCTTGAAAAACACGCCAGGTGCATGTGTATGTGTGCCCAAAATCCTGAAAGGAGAAATGGAGGAGAAGGGATTGTAGCATGACTGTCCCCCATGGCGGGGAGGGCTTTCCCACTTTGCCTTTCTATCTCACTCTGGCAAGCACATGGTCCCTCCAGCAAATTTAAAAAAAAAAAAAAAAAAAAAAAGGTTCATGGAAAAATAAGATTAAAGTACTACTTTATTTTGGTGAAAATTGAAATCCATCATAGCTTCTTCATAGTACACATTTTCCCTGAACTTTTTGAAGACATCTAGAATTTCTACACCTCTAAATCTTAGAATATTTCTGCCTAGTTTTAGACTAGAGATTTAGATTAGGGACCAGCAGTTAGTGTAATGGCTATGTCGCTGAACTCCCATGTAGTCAACCACGGTTTGAGTCCCGGACCCACTCAGTGGCTTAAACTCACGCCAGGTGCATGTGCATGCGTTCCCAAGATCCCGAGAGGAGAATAGAGGAGAAGAGATTGTGGCATGGCCATCCCCCCCCGGGGGGGGGGTGATTTCTCGCTTTCTGTTTCTCTGTCTCTGTCTTTCTGGCAAGCACACGCACCCTATAGCAAAAACCTCTCTCAAAAAAAAAAAAATAAATAAAAATAAAAAAGATTTAGAGTTTTGTGTTCACTTTGGCAGCATATATACTAAATTTGGAATGATACAGAGAAGATTAACATGACCCCTGCATGAGGATTACATGAAAAAAAAAAAATAAATAAAAATAAAAAAGATTTAGAGTTTTGTGTTCACTTTGGCAGCATATATACTAAATTTGGAATGATACAGAGAAGATTAACATGACCCCTGCATGAGGATTACATGCAAATTTTTTTTTTTTTTTTGAGAGGTTTTTCGTTATAGGGCGTGTGCGCTTGCCAGACAGAGAGAGAGCAGACAGAAAGCGATAAATCACCCCCCAGGGAGTATGGTCACACCGCAATCCCTTCTCCTCCATTCTCCTCTCGGGATCTTGGGCGCGCACGCACACGCACCCGGCGTGAGTTCTAAGCCACCGGGTCAGGGACGCGAACCACGGTCGACTTCGTGGGAATCCAGCGACATAGTCATTATGCTAACTTCTGGTTCCCCACGCAAATTCTTGAAGCGTTCCTTATCTTTCCACTTGACCCCAGTCAGAATAGCTAAGATTAAGAAATAAAGAATGATTGGGAACCAGCAGTTAGCGTAATGGCTATGTCGCTGGACTCCCACGTAGTTGACCACGATTCACGTCCCGGACCCGGTGACTTAAAACTCACGCCGGGCGCATGTGCGTGCGTGCCCAAGATCCCAAGAGGAGAATGGAGGAGAAGGGATTGCGGCGTGACCATCCCCCCTGGGGGTGATTTCTCGCTTTCTGTCTCTATGTCTCTCTCTGTCTGTCTGGCGAGCGCACGCGCCCTATAGTGAAAACCTCTCCAAAAAAAAAAAAAAAAGAATGATAAGTGCTGGAAAGGCTGTAGTGAAAAGAGCACCCTTCTACACTATTGGTAGGAATGTAAATTATTACAGCCACTGTGAAGAATGATATGCAGGCTTCTCAAAACCTACAAATAGAACTACCATAAGACTCAGTAATTCCTTTTTTAGGTATCTACCCGAAGGGTCGGAAAACAGTCTTAAAAACACTTGCAAATCTATGTTTATTGCAGCATTATTCACAATTGCTAGGACATAGAATTAACCCAAATATCCAAGACAGATGAGTGGATTGAAAAAATGTGGCACACGTACACTATAGAATACTACTCAGCCATAAAAAAAAAAATGAGACTCTGACATTTTATACAAAGTGGATGAATATGGAAGATTTAATGCTAAACAAAGCAAATTGAATTATGAAAGACAAGCATTGTATATCCCCGCTTGATATATACCGAATGTCTGCACTCTATAGCAGAAACTGAACGATTGGGAGGTATAAAAATAGGGAGGGCAACTGAAGATACTAGAGACAGTATAGGAGGAGTTAAGACGGAGGGGATCAGGAAAAAAATTTAATAGACAAAAAATGAAAAATTATCTGTTGATTTAAAAAATTGAGTTTTAAACTATTTGTTTAAAAGAATATTAAGCTATATGTTATTGCTAGTTTCTTTTTTCTTATGCATATCAATATTTGTATTTTCATATGGTTTTACTTTATTGCTTTATTTATCTGTAGATGGGAAAAAACTCAAAGAGATTGGTTAAGAGGATCAAAGTTAAAGTTGACATTGTAGCTAGCTTTGAATATAATGTATTGGTTGGGGAAGGAGAGCAGTAGACACTGTATGGTATACAATACTAACTTTTCTTAATGCTGTAGAATTCTTTTCTTGAGGGGGTCTGCTAAGACAGTTATTTTTAACATGTTAAAATGTTAACAATTTGTGTTGCTTTAGGTACACTGCTTTACACATTAAGAAGGCCTTACTTTAGAAAAATGGAAAATCAGGACGCACTGGTCTGCATATCTGAGAGCGTTCCAGAACCGATTGTGGAATGGGTGTTTTGCAATTCTCAAGGTGAAAGGTATGACATGTCTAAAGATCATTTGTTATTAGTTTTTATTCTAATGTAGTTGACATCATACTGTACATAAAATTTAATTTATCTCCATGTAAACAGGAAACTGGCTCTTTAGACTTGAAGAATAACTAGTATGGGCTTCACAAGGAAGGTGATGGGGGAGTTTCTTAGGGGCATTTTTGGAACTTCTCCAGTTGAATGCAGGCTCCTGCTTGGGTGTTAAAGCACACAAATCAAGGTCTTTCTAAGTTACGGGTTTGTTGGCTCCCTGAGCGTCTGGTTGGGAAAGAAAAAGTAATGATTTTAAAGTATAATTCTCTTATAATAGTGAGATATTCCTTGTGAATAAATGTTTAGTTTCTGATTATTCTGTTTATTCTAGGAAAGCAATATAATATGATCATTTAAGAATGTAGACTCTAGAGCCAGATAACCTAGGTTTGAACCCTGGTTTGCTAACCAGCTGTGTGATCTTGGATGGCGCTCAAGTCCAGGATCTAGTAGCTTGAAAACACATGGGGCGTGTGTGCCTGTGTGCCCAAATTCTCAAGAAGAGAATGGACCAGGGGGAACTGTGGCCTGTTTGTCACCCTGGGGGATGCTTCCTCATTTCCTCCCTCTCTCTTTCTGTCTCCAGCGAGCACATGGACACCCTATATATAGCAGATTTTAAAGAAAGAAAGAAAAACTAGATAGGAGACTCTCTAGTGACTAGATAGGAGAAAAAGTAAAGAAAAAAATAAAATCAGGTTACCAAATGATATTAGTGTGATCTCAAATTTTAGAAAAGAGAAAAAGAGATCACTTATAGACATATATATAATGTGTGCATAGGAAAAATGGAGAAAGAGTAATAGTTGTTATCTCAGGGTACTAGGAATATAGATAATTAAAAATTCTTTCCTGTGTGTTTTCTGTATTTTCCAAATTTGTACACTGAACCCAATTATTATCGTCATGTGGGGCCAGCAGGTGGTGTGGTGGTTAAGATACTGGACTCACACATGGCTGACCGCAGTTCAAGTCATAGACCTGGCAGCTGGAAAGTCATGCCGGATGCGTGTGTGTGTGTGTGTGTGTGTGTGTGTGTGTGCACCCAAAATCCCGGATGAGAATGGAGAAGCGATTGCAGCATGATTTCTCACTTTTCTGGGGGGAGATTTCTCACTTTTCCTCTCACTTTCCTTCTCACTGTTTGTCTCTTGCTCTCTGCCAAATGCACACTGCTTATGGCGAAAACCTTTAAAAATTATTGTTGTCTTGTAATTAGAGAAGAATATGGGGACCAGCTACCATGACACTCTGCCCTGTGGACCCACACGGGAAGGTCTTTGGCTACATGCTGGGGCCTCCTTGCATAAGCTAGGTGTGCACTTGAGGATGCTCGCTTGTCATCAGGTTGGTCATGGCATGAAGACCCTATTTGGGGATGGTGCTTTCTCACTCTCTTTCTCTTCTCTCTTATAAAAGAAAAAAAGAAAATTTAAGGGGGGAAAATCCTCAAGGGAAGATACAGAAACAAAGACAAGAATCCACTTGACTAAAGTGATAAAGAGAACAGGAACTCCACAGACTCCAAAGCCATTTATCTGCTTTGGAAAAGATCAAGATTAGGAAAGCTGTCATTAGGAACCAAAGCCCATTTTCTACCAAGGCTGGAGGAGCAGATATTGCTCCGTTGAACACTGAGCTGGTCTTGGCAGATCCGGTGAGGCACCACCTCCCCTCTGGATCTCGGGAGACTTCTGCAACATCAGCAACCTCTCTCCCACTCACCAGCTATCTTATGTGCTACCCCGGAAAAGCTGCCTACCTGTTAAGCTGCTCTGAAGCCAATCAAATTTCTCTCCTTCTTCTCTCTAAATTCCTTTCCCCGCCTCTATTTATTAATTTAATTTTAGTTTTTAGGTTTTTGTCATAGGGTGCGTGTGCTCCCTGGAGAGAGACAGAGAACGGGGAAAGTGAAAAATCATCTCCCGGGGGGAATGGCCACATCCCAATCCCTTCTCCTCCAGTCTCTTCTTAGGATCTTGGGTATGACACACATGCCTGGCATGATTTTCGATCCACCCATCAGGGGCCATGTGCCTTAACCATCATGCCACCTGCTGGCCCCTCATTCTCTGCCTTTAAATTGCAACAAAAGAGGTCACCAAAACCCCACAGTTTTTAGCTATCGGTACGCAATTCTCTCTAGTGTCAGTCTAGTTAGTTGCGATAATGAGTAACCAGCTACTTTTCTCTGAACCCTTGGCTGAAACCACAGATTGCAATTTGCTTACCTTTGACCTAACTCTTCTTTATTCCCTGAAAACTAGCTCTGGACCTTTTAATTGTGTCCTTCTCCTGAAGATTCATGGGTAATTTTAAAGTAAAGCATGTTCCATCAGATGACATTTATTTTTCAATTGCAGCTGTAAAGAAGAAAGTCCAGCTGTTGTTAAAAAGGAGGAAAAGGTACTTCGTGAATTATTTGGAACAGACATAAGGTGCTGTGCAAGAAATGAAATGGGCAGGGAGTGTACCAAGCTGTTCACTCTAGGTAACGCCTCAGTATCATGCATTTTGACTTTCGGTGACTAGTCCTTAGAAACACCCTAGGACTGGGGCCGGCAGGTGGCGTAGTGGCAAAAGGGACTGGACTCCCACATGGCTGACCATGGCTTAAGTCTCAGACCTGGTGATTTTCTTTCTCAGTTGCCCTCTCACTTTCTCATTCTGTTCCCTCTCTGGTTAAGTTTAAATAAATAAATAAAGTTAAATAAAATAACTATTTTTTTAAAAGGAAGAAAGACAGACAGATCCTGGGACTAACAGTTGCCACTAGGTAATCGTTCAACTTCAGAAGTTCTCCAATTCCTCTGTACCAACTTAAAAGTAACATCATGGATTCTGTAAATGCTGACTTCTTTAGAAAAGAGTAGTTAGTCTCTGAAACATCCTTTTATTATATAGTTAGTAACATTTGAGATGATGTTACAATTTTTGTCTTTTGGGGCCAGCAGCTGGCATAGTGGTTGAGGCGCTGGACTCCCACCTGGCTGACCACGGTTTGAGTCCCAGACCTGATGGCTTGCTTTCTCACTTTCTTTCTCAATTGCTACCTCTCTCTCTCTGGTGAGCACAAGTGTCCTATTGCAAATTAAAATAATAATAATAATAATAATGATAATACATACATAAAATTAAATAATTACATAATTATAAAATCTTGGTCTTTCAGAATGTTCAGAATATGTTCTATAATGAGGGAAAATCACTCTTTATTTCTTATGTGGGTTGTTTTTATCTTCCAGATCTAAATAAAACTCCTCAGACCACACTGCCACAATTATTTCTGAAAGTTGGGGAACCATTATGGATAAGGTGTAAGGCTATTCATGTGAACCATGGATTTGGGCTCACCTGGGAGTTAGAAAACAAAGCTCTCGAGGAGGTAATAGAGAAGTTTGAATTCTGAAAATGCAGAAATAATAAACCAAATGTACAAATTGAAAACATTAAATTCAAACTCTGTTTTATTAAAACCTAGGGCAGCTACTTTGAGATGAGCACGTATTCAACAAACAGAACTATGATACGGATTCTATTTGCTTTTGTATCATCAGTGGGAAAAAACGACACTGGATATTACACTTGTTCCTCTTCAGAGCATCCCAGTCAATCAGCTTTGGTTACCATCCTAGGTAATGCAGGCTGCCATGCAATCTTTGTTCATAGTTTGGTTGCTTTAGTGTGGAATGTGAGGTATATAATCCCATTTCTGATTCCAAGATAATGTTAAAAGCTGAAAAAAGAAGTTGAGTTAGGGAACCAGCAGTTAGCGTAATGGCTATGTCGCTGGACTCCCACGTAGTCGACCGCGGTTTGCGTCCCGGACCCGGTGGCTTAAAACTCACGCTGGGCGCGTGTGCATGCGTGCCCAAGATCCCGAGAGGAGAGTGGAGGAGAAGGGATTGCGGCGTGACCATCCCCCCTGGGGGGTGATTTCTCGCTTTCTGTCTCTATGTCTCTCTCTGTCTGTCTGGCGAGCGCATACGCCCTATAGCAAAAACCTCTAAACCTCTCAAAAAAAAAAAAAAAAAAAAAAAAGAAAGAAAGAAAGAAATTGAGTTAGAATAGCTTTGCAAGGAATACACTGCCCAGTCCAGTCCTTTTCCAGTTAAACCATGCCCTCTTGAATGCCACTGTCTGCACTTAACACTGCAGTGCATTCCTAAGGACAGGGACAATCTCTTGTTTTGTTTTGTTTTTTTAGTTTGTGCTAGAGAGTGTGTGCACTCACCTAAGAGAGACAGAGAGAAAAAGAGAGGGAAAGTGACCATACCAGAATTCACTTTCCTCTCTTCCCCTCAGGATTTGGGGCATGCATGCACACATACCCAGTGTGACTTTCAAGCCCACCAAGTCAGGGACTCCGACGGCCAAATCAGCCATGTGGTATCAGCCGCCTTAAACTCCAAGCCACCTGCTGACCCTATGCCTTCTACCTAGAGCTCCAGAATCTAGCAGAGAGCCTGACACACAACAGGCACGTAATAAATATTTTTCTAAGAACCAAGGGAAAGGGCAATGAGCAATGACTGAAAACACCGTGCATGTATTTAGATGCGCTGAAATTTAGGTGGACTACATAGGATTTTAAAACAACATTTAAGCAATCTCAGATTTGAGTGCAGCCTTTAGCCATAAAGAAAATGCTAAGAAATGCAGTGATTCTCTTAGCAAACTTACAAGGACATGTTCCACAAAGAAACCTTGTGAATATTGCTTGTCAGATTATTCTTTTATTTGTGCCTTTAGATGATTTCATGCAGCCTCATTGCTGAGAGAGTTGTTCTGACTGGGAACAGGATCTTCTAGGTTCTGTTAAGGAACCCCTCCGTATCTACATGGTTGACTGGAGATGGGGAGCCCTTCAGCTCTTAAAACTGTCTAAACAAGGGACCAGCAGGTGACATGGTGATTAAGGCACTGGATTCCCACATGGCTGACCATGGTTCAAGTCCCGAACCTAGCAGCTTGAAAATCACAACAGAGCAATAGATAAATAAATAAATGTTCTTTAAAAACAAAAACTGTCTAAACAAAAATCTGTACATTCATTTCTCTGGAAAGAGAGTCAGTTATTTACATACACTTGAAAGGAGATCTTGGCACCAAAAGATGACGAGCTCAGGCTTAGCATGGGGACTAGCGCGCCTGTATTCCTTCTTCGACTATCTGACCCGCAGCATGCCAGCATCAGACTTTTCCTGTGTTACATTGATGGACAAAAAATTAGTCTATCACCTCATTGTGTTTTCATATGAGTCTCGTTCTCTAACTTATAAATGCATTTGTTTTGTTTTGGTTTTGTTTTGTTTCTACAGAAAAGGGATTTATAAATGCTACCAACTCAAGTGAAGATTATGAAATTGACCAATATGAAGACTTCTGTTTTTCCGTCAGGTTTAAAGCTTACCCACAAATCAGATGTACCTGGACCTTCTCTCAGAAATCGTTTCCTTGTGAACAAAGTGGTCTCGATGATGGATTCAGGTGAGACAATACAGGGGACCGAGATGTCATTGGCACAATTCTCCTTCCTCGTTGCCCTCAGGAAGGCCAGTTTTGTACTTTGGGAAACAGACTCACTTACAATGAGTTTGTATGTTACTCAGTTCAAATTAAGGAGAAGAAAACAAGCGGCAGATGTGAGGACACAGTAGCAGTCTTAACAGTGTTTCAGAGAGTCTAACCTACTGTACTAAAAAGGGAAAGACTCTTCTTAGTGGAGTATGGTTTGTGGCATTCTCTGAGTCACAAGATGGTCGCTTCCTATTTGAGAGGTCTGTGCTGAGTCTCCTTAGCACACTTGCAGAAGATTGAGGAAGTAAAACTCCTTAAAAATAGGAAAATGTTACCTATACGTGTATGGATTTATGTTTTTAAAAAATAAATGCAGAAATGGTCCAAAAAATAAGGGGAAAAGGAAAAAATCGTCTTTCTGGGGATTTATAAAACTATATTCAAGATTTTCTTATGGAAGATATTCTTCATTCCCTCTTTGAAAACCAACACCAAACAACTTTTTCCCTGTATCTTCTATAGCTCTGACACCTCTTATCTAAGGAACAGGATTTCAGGGTAGAGTATGAGGGACTGCAAGGCACATGTCTTCTCTCATGCAAGCCAATGGCCTAGAGTAAACCACAGTTTCCCAGTATGTGGTCCATAAGCCAACTGTATCAAAATCATCCAGGAAGACATTAAAAATGTGGCCTTTGGTTCTCACTCCAGATATGCTGAATCAAAATTGGGGCATAATGCTCAGGTTCTACATTTTCAGTAAGAACCTTTGGTGGTTCTTGTCACAGGTCCAGGTCAGTGCCATCCAGGTCAGGAGCCACCCACTACGGATGGTTTTGAGTCTTGAAATGTGACTATTCCACACTGAGATGTGTTGGAACTATATAATAAACACTGAATTTTGAAGACTTAGTGTGAAAAAGATGTAAACTATCGGGGCCAGCCAGTGGCATGGTGCTTAAGGCGCTGAATTCCCACATACCTGACCATGGTTCTAGTCTTAGACCTGGTGGCTTGCTTTCTCACTTTCCCTCTCTTTCTCTCTCTGGTGAGAGCACATGTCCTATAGCAAATTAAAAGATAATAATAAATACAATTAAATAAATAATCCTTTAAAAATGTAAACTATCTCATTAACCTTTTTTTTCAAAGAATTATTTAATTTTAGTTACTATTATTATCATTTCCAATTTTCTTTGTTTTTCTTTCTTTTGGAGAGGTTTTTGCTATAGGGCGTGTGCGCTCGCCAGACAGACAGAGAGAGAGAGAGAGGGAGGAGAAAATAGAAAGTGAGAAATCACCCACCAGGGGGAATGGCCACACCACAAACCCTTCTCCTCCATTCTCCTCTCAGGATCTTGGGCATACACACACAAGCGCCCAGCGTGAGTTTAAGCCACCGGGCCTGGGACTCAAACCGCAGTCAACTACATGGGAGTTCAGCAACGTAGCCATCACGCCAACTGCTGGTCCCATCATTTCCAATTGTCTGTAGGGCACATGTGCTCACCAGAGAGAAACAGACAGAGAGAGAGAGAGAGGGAGGAGAAAATAGAAAGTGAGAAAGCAAGCGGCCAGGTTCGGGACTTGAACTGCTGTTGGCCACATGAGAGTCCAGCACCATAACCATCACACATCTGCTGGCCCATCATTAGTCATGTTTATATTGATCATATGTTAAACTGATAGCATTTTGGATATAATAAGCTAAAAGAAATCTGTTGGGGCCAGCAGGTTGCGTAGTGGTTAAGGCACTGGTTTCCCACATGGCCAACTGTGGTTTGAGTCCTGAACCCAGAGGCTTGAAACTCATGCCGGGCACATGTGCATGGGTGCCCAAAGTCCCAAGAGGAAGAGATGGAGGAGAAGGGGCTGGGGCATGCCACCCTCCCTGGGGGGTGGGGGTGGGGGGTGTGATTTCTCACTTTCGCTCTCTGTCTCTCTGACAAGTATATACACCCAATAGCAAAAAAAAAAAAAATTCTCAAAAAATAAATTTATTATTACTCTTATTTTCACCTGCTTTTTCTTACTTTCTTTATATAGCTAACTGGGATTACATTTATTTAATTATTAAGAGATTTGTTTTTGGAAAACTTACTCATTTATTTCTTCCATGAAAGAGAGACAGAGATACAGAGAAAGAGTTACATTGTGATCCACCCGGTCTTGGGCAGCCCCAGTCACAGCATGCTCAGGGAGGTCCCAGGAAGCAAACTCAAAGCCCATCCCCTGTGGGTCCAGCTGTGTTACCATGCGCCATCTCTCTTCCCCAAGTTGTGCCACCAAAAATATCTCCAGACATTGCCAAATGCCCCCTGGTGGGGAAAAAAAAAAAACCCAGTTGAGAACTACTGCTTTGGAGAGATCACCCTGCAATCATAAACTCTTATTCAGAACTATCGAACTTTTGTTTTGGAATTTGCCCGTAGAGGAAGTGCACTTGCCAGAGAGAAACAGAGAGGAAGAGGGAGAGAGAGAGAGAGAAGTGAGAAATCATCCCTGAGAAATGATGGCCATGCCACAATCCCTTTCATTCGCAGAATTTTGAGCACACATGTGCCCAACATGTTTTTCAAGCCACCCAGTCAGGACTCAAAGTGGAGAGTAGGTCGTGCAGGATCTAGTGCCTCAACCACCAAGTCACCCAATGGCCCCTAAAACTATACTTTTAATAACAGAAGGTCAGGGCCAGGAGGTGGCACACGGTGGTTGAGGCACAGCACTCCTACGTGTCTAACTACAGTTCAAGTCCTGGACCTGGTGGCTTGCTTTCTTACTTTCCCTCTCTCTCTTTTTCTCTCTGGGAAATTGAAAAATAATACTAATAATAAATTAAATAAGTAATTATTTTTTAATTAATTTAAAAATAAAAATAAATAGGGACCAGCAGTTAAGCGTAATGGCTATGTCGCCGAACTCTCACGTAGTCGACTGCGGTTCGCGTCCCGGACCCGGTGGCTTAAAACTCACGCCGGGCGCGTGTGCGTGCATGCCCAAGATCCCGAGAGGAGAATGGAGGAGAAGGGATTGCGGCGTGACCATCCCCCCTGGGGGGTGATGTCTCGCTTTCTGTCTCTCTGTCTCTCTCTGTCTGTCTGGCGAGCGCATGTGCCCTATAGTGAAAACCTCTCCAAAAAATAAAAAAATAAAATAAAATAATAAAAATAAGAGGTCAAGGGGCTAGTAGGTGGCCTAGTGGTTAATGTGCTGCATTCCCACGTGTTTGGCTGTGGTTGAGTCCTGGACCTGGCAGCTTGAAAAATCATAACAAATAACTAGATAAGGCCCGTCTCTCCAGGTTGAATTGATTACCACATGGCCTGTGTTCAGAAGGACATCCATTATCACTGTCCTTCCTTTCCTTCCTTATTTTATGTATCCCAGTGTTAGATAAGCTCTTAGCAATATGGAAATCTCTTCTGAATCTAATTCAAAGAGATAAAGGACCAATTCAATTTAGTTTAACAACCATTATATCTTTTTGATGGATTTGATGATATGAGGGGTTACAAGAGTGAATAAGGTAATGTCCTTCTCCTTCTCCCCCAAATCTGCATGGATTGCTACCATGTTGGTGACATTGGCAGAATATTTTGAGGTTTTACAGTATCACCGATTAGAGAACATGACTGTGATTTTCGGGTCATGGGCCGACCTACTGGGCTAGTTACTGTAACCCATTCCTTGGTCACAACCTGCAACCCTGACCTCAAGAAGTTGTCCTACAGAGGTAGTTAAATGAATTAGGGCAGATCCTCACTCCTGTCGTATTTTGTACTTATCTCATTCATAATTATCTAGTAATACAGTTACCACTTTGCATGTCAAATCTCACCAGGAAGTTTTGAAGCTTCCTAGGACAGGTGCGTTGTCATCTCTCTGTCTCAGTACAATGCCTTGTTCAATAAATATGTGGTTAATAAATGAATACATTCATCATTCCCCTTGAAAACAGCTCAAAGTGCATAGTCTGGATCAGAGATGAGTCAATAGCATCCCCTCTGTACTGTAAAGGACCGTGCATTGCACTTACACAACCACGAATGCTCAGCGTGTTTTGTTTAAACGTTTTGGAGCAGCCACAATATTGGGTGGTGCTAATGAAGTACGAGGTGCCACGAGCCCCTGAATACACCAGGCAAGGGAAATGCAGATCTTCCTTCTTCATGAAAATGATACCCGAAATATTGAACAAAAAATAGTCAACAAAAATTTGAGCACACAGGGCCAGCAGGTGGCATGGTGGTTAAAGGTGCTGGACTCCCACATGGCTGACCACGGTTCAAGTCCTAGACCTGGCAGTTTATTTTCTCACTTTCCTTCTCTCTCTTTCTCTGTCTCCCTGTGGTCAAATTAAATAATAACAATAATAATAATAATAAATAAAGTTAAAGTAATTCTTAAAAAAAAAAAGTGAGCACACCTCTGAGTGCTCTCGATATCTTCTCCACGTCACATGAGGTGCTGGATTAAGATGAAGAATGGCTGGCCAAATTATAATCTGAGTTCTTTTCAACTTTTTATTATAAAAAAATTTCAAATTTACTAATAACTTGGAAGAAGAGTACAGTGAACTACCTGGATTATTACCCACCACAATTTATTTGAACTGAATTTGGTTTGTGAGGTACAGTATTTGAGTCATGTTACAAGAGATGATTTTATAGGCCAAGTGACACGAGTGTTTTTAAATGAGTAACCGAAAGGCCTGTGTAATAACACTACCCCTGAAAAAGCTTTGGTGGTCATGGCGTGTGTGTAAGAAGTCTCTCGGCTTCCTCACCTTCAGAGCTTCATTTCTCTAATTTACTTCCTCAAATACTATGTCAGAGTTTATGAGGGCTTGCCCTTTATGAAACTGTAACTCGAGCTGTCCTGACATCCTGGGCTTGATAGAAGTTTACAGGGTAGTTCATCTCTTAATTTGCATAATGTTCTATCATTAAAGACGTAATTACAAATGCAAA